GGAATAGGAATAGTGGATATGGGCTCGAGGCATGGTCCTACAAGGAATAGGAGTGGCGCAGCAGGCGCGCGAGACCTAGTCATCGAAGGACTAGGCGTACGGTACGGGCGCTCGAAGCCTAGTCCTCACGGAACTAGGCATGGCAACGGGACGGCGTACACGCGCTGGCGGGACACGGCCGGTGCGGCAATAGAGAGATGGCGCGCGCGTGCAGGGGCAGCGTGCGGGATGCCTAAACACGGTAGGCGTAGGCGAAAGCTGATGGGGTGCACGCGCAAGGGCGAAGTCGGCGCGGGCTGGGCTTGCGCACGAGCGTGCGCGTACGACGCGTGGAGGGCGTGCAACATGAGGCGGCGAAGGATTGGGAGACTTGAGCATTCTAGAAGTACTGGAGTGCAAGGCAAGGAATTGGATAGCAAGTCAAGAATTTAGGAGATCTACTAGATTTAGGAAATTATGGTAGTAGGATATTTACTAGCCTTAAAATTTAATATTTAATTATTTATTTAGTTTCCTAGTAAGATTAGATCTAGAGATAGTTGGTATCTATAAATACCCCATGTACCTCATCATTATTTTATGTCTTGAATTGAGTATTGAATTGGTGAGCCAATTTTGAGGGGGAACCTTGTGTTCTTAACGTGTGATAAAGAAGGCCATTCGTGCGTCTTTACATGCAGTGTCGGAGAGAAGGCCAATAGTGCGTCTTGAAGTCCCGGTGTCTAGGAGAAGGCCGCAGTGCGTCTGCTAGATACATCTATCGGGGATAAACGAAGGCCTCAGTGCGTCGTTTATTCGCAACCCAGTATAGACAAAAGATCGATCCGTCATCACCGCGAGGCGTCGCGCACAGCCTTCCGCAACAATCCGCTGGCAGTGCCCAGTGCACGCCAGCAATTCACCATGCACGCCAGCGTGCACGTTCATGCATCAGTCGCTTGCTGTGGCGCGCGGTAGCGCCCAGCAGCGTCAGTCACGCTTTTGCCCGTGCACATAGCGCGGGGAAGCGCCAGTCGATGCCTGCAATGCGCCAGGCGCACGCACGCGTCCTAGTAGCCCAGCAGCGTTCAGTCGCCCGCCAGTCAGGCCAGCCGTGCCCAGTGGAGCGCGCCAGTGCACACGAGTAACCATGGTCGTGCCATGTGCTGCTCAGCGAGTCATGCAGCAACCATGCCACGGCCAGCCGCCAATGCCCGCGGCCAGTCCAGGCAGCGCCAGCGCCCGCGGCCTTAGCAAGCCCGTTGGCTGAGCCAGTGGCCGACCGCCCGGCCAGAGAAGGCCAGCGGTCCGGCCAGACCGGTTCAGATCGGTTGGACCGGTTCAGGCTATATTGTCATGTTTTTAGTCCCGGTTCATGTTCAAGTCTCATTTTCAATTAAAATTCCGGGTCCAGTTCTGTTCAATAAATTTATATCAGTTCAGTTCTGTTGGTGTTATATACTTAAGCTTTGCTTTAGTGGATATTACACTTGTTATTTCTTGATGAATGAGAATTATGTTTGGTTAAATAAGTTCCACGTTCTGTTGTTTTGCATGTAGATAAGTGGGTCGTCATCAGGCGTACCAAAGATCACTATATCAGTTACTTGCGAAACAAGAATCATTGGTTTACAACCTAGATGGAATTGAACAACCCATCGGAACGGTCGTTGTGTCAACCGTACGGTTTGTCTTGACCGATTAATTGCACTAGTACATTTATGTATTGAACAGGATCCCAGAGAGGGATGTTCGATTTATACTGATCGTCGTAAACAAACTAGGCCTCAGTTAATTATTGCGTGCTCTTAACCCGTAAGATATTAAATAGGCATGTGCACATAATTATTGTTGCTTTGATTCTTTGGGTGAGATCACAGCCGGGTCGACATACTTAATGAATTGGGTAATGACATAATGTGTTCGATGTGCTATTAGGATATTTACGGTCACCATGTGCGTTAGTATGATGATGTCCCCGAAGTGAGTTCATGAAGGAATATTATGCTAAACCCTGCAGCTGGATATATTCCGGCATAATATGAATGTTATGAGCGAGCGCTAGCTTCGGTAATATAATATATTAATTAATTCTTGATTATTAGTGATCGAATTAATTAATGGACATTATATCTTAAACATGGGGAGGTAAATCGGATAATTATAATAAGGAGTCTCAAATGTAATTTGGGATAGGTGAGGGGAGTGCAATAATATTATTGTGGTGGACTTTAATATTATTAATATATTAATTGTGGGGTTGCTCCACTTTATTATTATATTAGAAGCCCTTATCCTATTCTCCTTAGGGTCCCTACTGTAGCTCTATATATACAGCATTAGGCTCATGGAAGAAGAGAACAATCCCACAACCTTGGAATTGCGTCCGCCCCTCTCTCTCTCTCTTCCAAGGAGTAGTTCTATTTCTTGTGCTCAACTGATACAAGATCTAGATAGCTGTTTGAGAATACAGTAGAAGATCTTAATGTATATACGGGATTTCAATCAGATCTATCATACATCCAAACCGGAGACCAAAACCAGCAAGTGACCATACCACGATGACCAGGACGACGAGACGAAGAGATCGCCGTGGAGATCGCCGCCAGCCGTCGCCGCACGCGCCGCCACGCGCCGCCGGAAGGTGAGAGCGCGTGAACCGTCCGATTTCTGATCGGTCAACGCTGTTGACTTCGCCGTGAAGCCAGCTTTCTGGATTGGTCAAGTTTGTTCGATTCCGAGAAGATTTGATTTACGGTCAACTGTTCGGGCCATATAGATCTACATAAATTTTAAGCAGTAAGTTTTCTTCATCAAACCTTTAGATCCGCTGCGCATAGATTTATGTTGAATGTTTGTCCGTGATTTGTGCATATCGAGATCCTCATATGTCCCAACAGTTGGTATCAGAGCTTGAGGTTAATCCGTTATGTACAAGATCTGGATTAAACTGCTTATATTGTCTATGTGTGCTCAAGCGCAGCCATATATATTGGATTATATGCATAACTTGGTTTTGCAGGAAGTAGTTAATCCACTATTTTGGCCACCCTTTTATGTGCTTGTGCTTAATTGATGGTTGGTTGTATGGTTTTAAATTTATTTTTAAAGCCTCGGGATTGTCGAGGAATTATGGATGAATGCTTGTATTAATTGCCCGGGGGTTGACCGAATAGTTTAATTAATTAGTAAAAGGCATGTACATCCACTCGTTGGATCTAGGAATCGATTTATGTAATTTTGTAAATTATATTTTTCGAATTGTGATCGACCGTTGGAGACCGGGCCTTCACAAAGATCCAAAGAGACTCGACAAAGCAAGGAAGAAACCAGAGCCGGGATCCAAGGCTGGCCGGCGCGGCTGCAGCTTCTACTGGTGGAGGTTTTGTGGAACTTGCAGTACAAGTCAACCGGGATTCTACTACAGTGGGAGTTCCAGTTGGTTTAGGACAGAAATTCTAATCCTAGGAGAATAAATATTTAATTGGCCATAATAGTGGATATTTATTTATGGCATTAATTATTTATTTGTTTATTTATGCATGGGATTATTTAGAATTGCATAAATATATTAAAAATCCTCTTTTAAATACTAAGTTGAGAAGGATATTTAAAGTTAAGATAATTTTTAAATTCCTAAGGCCTCCATTTCTAATTCGTTGGTAAATCAATTAATTGATAGTGTGGGCTTCCCCGAGGATGACATTGCTTGAAAATAATTGAAGTATAATTATCAGAACGAAATTCTAAATTTAGAGGTTAGAGAAAATCGAATGAGAGCGTACGGGTCACCCCGAGGTGAACGTATAATAAATTTTGACGACCTTAGGACCGAGAAATAGGATTCACTTAGAATGCGATTCATTTCATAACCCCCCGAGGGGTCCCTGATTTTTTTTGCATGGCCAAAAGGTGACCGACTATTAATTTCGTTCGTCA